CACTGAAACCACTGTTTTCCATACTGGCCGTATTTTGGTCCCAACCATGGATACTGTTATGGTATGAATGTCATTAATAATTCTTAAGATCATTAAATTCATTGTCATACTGCTTGCCACCAGTTTACTCTTCAAATTCTGGAAAGCTAAATATAAACATAAATCGATCATACACTGATGTGATTTTTTTTTTTTTATTCTACAGGTCACTATTATAGAAGCAGACTGCCAGCTAATGAAGTTGTGACCTCATGAGCAGAGCTCCAGCTAAAGCAGGATTCTATATTTGGAAATTGAAAGCTTTAGTGTCTAACATTGTATAGACTGCTCAACACTTGTCAAATTCTTTTCTAAATCAATGTAGACCAACATAAAGCAGATGGCTAATAATACTGAGAAGCAAGTCATTAGTTCTATTCATTTCACCTTATGAAAGCTGTTACTTTTCTTCATGGTAAAAGAATATCTGAAAACAGCAGAATTTTCACGAAATGCACCATAAAGCTATAAAGCCAACAAATTCACCACTTACTCACTACTTTCTTTATGTCATTATCTTACTTTGGCTGCACCATTTTAAACTGACAAATATCTAATATCTTTTCATTTTCTGTTAGAAAATGATGAAGTCTTTTTCCATTGTGTCTACTGCAGTGAACATATTGACTCATAATATGAACTTTCTGGATTAGAAAACTGGCAATTTTTTACAAAGTGAAAAAAATTTGAAATTCTCTGCTTTGGAAAATGACAAGTTTTGCCACCGAGGCTAGTGACAGAAATCTTAAATTGTGTCTAATGCAAATAGGAAAAGCATCTTGGTAAAAAAAAATAAAAGTCACATTTGGGTACATTTACCTTGTTAGTTCCAATGGCACAGAGAAGTACGATGTCTAATCTTTCACTATGCATGAGCTTCATAAACTGCCTGAGGGACTGGCAGAAAGGGACAGAAAAAAACAGCAGTGACAACCATTTTCACATAAGAACACAGCTGGAAGGAAAGACAGTAATGATGTCCTCCTTATGCATAGTATTTCTGTGTTTGGAGCACTTGGGAACAAGTTTATTGCTTCTCTGGAGACTATGCACAAAGTCAAGCTACAGATTAAGTTGGGAAGGGGTTGTCTACTCTTCCAAATGAACTATGGACCTCTCCCCCTTGCAGATGAAGAAATGTGGATTAAAAAAGTAAACTGACAGTGCAAGAAGTAGAGTACACAAGAGGAAGGCAAGCTTTGTGTCTTAAGGGTGAGAGCACTCAATGTGGCAGGGTGGGTAAAGGGTTTTTTCTGTACTATTATTGATGTATTGATAACAGTACTGTTATCAATGTATTCTGTTATCAATGGTTTCACTCTGGTGACTGAGCAATAGAGAACTACCAAAATCATACTCTAGGAGGCACATCCTCAGTACTCTACACAAGATGCATTCAAGCACTGTAAACCCTAACAGGTCAAATCTTGTTTGTCTTGCAGGAAGTCAAGAGATATCATCAATAACATAGTGCTATCCCTTCTTTACCTCAAAAAAATTAAAAGTATATGCAGTCTGTCAGGTTCACCCGAGTTCTCTTTTATGCAGTGTACCATTTCAAAATGCTAGTAATTATTTTTTTAAAAATTGAAATTGAAAAGGGAAACTTCAAGCTAAAACTATGAGAACAGGAATGTGAAGATCAGGCTCTTATTCTAGTTGTCACCTACGAAGCTCCTGTGGGCTATAGCAAAAGGTGCTGAAACCATACCCTGAGCCCTTTATTTCAGGAAACCGTAGGATTTTGGAGGCAGGATGGCAACAGAAGTCATATTCATTCTGAATGAGTTCATTCTAGTGGTACAGTGTGGTATGGTATTGTCCCCAGCAGCAGGCGCTTCTCCCAGCAAGTCCACTGCCATCACACTATACCACTTTTTCATTGCCTAATCTAGGAGAGGTGGAAGCCCTCATAAAATTGGACTCTACAGGTAGGATGGAAACTATCCCTCAGTCATTAATAACATACATCAGATAACAGGTTCTATTTCAAGTCTCCCAGTGGATATTCTTGTGGTACCTCAGGTTGCAATTTTACTTAAATATTTTTTTTCTGATGACTCTAACAGTCTTCATTAATCATTTGGATGCATTTGACATCAACACAAAAGACTAGGTTGACCTTAATATAAGTCATTAATGCCTATGAATAGAACTTCCAAGATTTGCTGAGATCATTCTTTAATTTTTGCATGTTTGTTTCATCTCATGTAACTATTATTGGTTTTGAAAGCAAAGCTGGTCACTGCATTTTGCACTGAGTAAACAGAAGTCTATCTGCTGTTTCAAAATGCTAGAGATTTCTTTCTCCCCCCCTCAAAAAAAAACAACACTACCAAACTTAATATTTTTTAATAAAAAACAGTTTCTTCTGATCTTTATATGATAATAAACTTTCCTAATATTTTCCATTGAAGATTAATACACTTCTCTAGAAAGTTATATCTAATTTATGTGACTTTAAGGGTCATGCTTTAATAACAATGATGAAACACGATTATTACTTCCTAATGCTGAAATTACAGTTTTTACATTGTAAATTTTTCCTGCTATGCGCCCTGTGGCACTAACATTTTTATCACTCCATGTGTTTCTAGTTTTAAAACCTTTACCCCTGCTGTTTGAAAAATATTTCTCATTTTCGTCCCCTATGGAGTACAGAAATCCCTAAAGGCAAACCATTAGTGATCTTTCTGCCTTTTCCCAAACACTTATTATGATCACCAGTGTTGCTTCCACTGCCTCATTGGCTTTTGGTAAAGTATGCAAATGAAATGTTCAAAACACACACTTTTTGCAACTGTGCAAGTTCATACTGATTTATAAAATGGGAAGGCTATTAAACTGACTGAAAATGTCAGCAAGATTTATGCATGGGTGACAAATTGTATTGGAAATGTTCATTTTTAACATGCTGGCCTGGGTTCCTTCTCTTTTTAAAAAAGTATTGTATGTGATACATTTGCTTTAAGGCCATTTGCCCCTCCCATCTCCCCATTTGTTTTAAATATACACTGACAGTGACTTTTTGACCAGGAAAATAAACAAAACTATTCACATCGATTGTTCTTTATCATGGAAAGCAGAAATTGCTTTTCTTCTTACTTGTGTTTTTCCAGGAAGCTATTTAAGGAATTACTTTCACCTTTGTGTTGCAATGAAACACTTGTGGACCAAACAGCTACCTTCCTGGAAAAAACACACTATCTGAAACAGCACAATTCTCCAGATACTGATATACTCAAGTCCTGTCTCTGGGTATGCATACATGAGAATTCTCCTTTTGAGAATGCAAGGCTTGTATTTCAAGTCAGAAACTGCCCTGACACATGTAGGACTTGATCTTTGAAGCAATGCTCATTCTCAAGCAAAAATTCCATATCCAAATATCATAAAGACCATTAAAATGCAAACATGTGCCATGTGCAAATATTATAGCTGTTAAATTTGCCAAATACATACGAAGCATTTGTGGAATCGTGTGAAAACTAGTAAAGAAACTCTATTTTATAATTGTATGATAAAGAAATATATTATAAAGCAATGAAAGCACTATAGTACATTTCACAATAGTAAGGAAATGATGGAGAAATTTATGAGGGTTCATTTCAATTTCAGCACCAAAGGCAAAGAACCTTGTCACTGATGTTAAAGAGAAAAGGTTTAGGCCCATAATCACACATCATATTATCAACATATGTAAAGGCAAAAATGTTGTAAAGAAAGAAAATCAACAAACTATTGAATGCCTTGAAACACTCATACATCATCTCAGCTGCATAATGAGAAATACAGGTCTGATAGCAACATAAGTATAATTTCTGTCAACATGTACAATATTATGTGAGGTTCTTTAAATAGTTTAAAACATAGCATGTTCTATGATACTAATGTTATGGCAAAGAAGCTGTGCTTTTGTGATTACTTTCTTCTATTCTTGTGTATTCATTTTGGTGTAAATCCCACTCATACAAAAGCTTAAACCAAGCAGTGTTTGGGTTTATACAGCAACACCTGTGGGCAAGGTTTCATGTCACCAGTCTGTGGGATCAGCCACCTAAGCCATGTGTTCAAGGTATTTAAGTACCTACTGACCACAGATATAGTATTTCAACCGTATTTAGCAGCACACAAATTCAAATGAGGCTTGTCATTATCTTGTCCTTACTTCTTGGGGTTTGCTGATTTTTTCCTGATTAGTTTTTTTGTTTTGTTTTTTTTTTTAATTCTTAACCAGTACACAAGTGTGCTTACACAGTTCAGTACATGAGATAGATAGCAGATCATTTGCGTACCCACAGCAACTACAGATGCAGTCCTCCTTCACCTCAAGTTCAAAATGCTTTAAAAGTTATTGTATAATCCTTTATGTTGAAAAATTCAATACTGAGAACTTAATGCTACTTTTTATATTCAGATCAGTCAGTACCAGTACCATTATTGCTCTGATTTTCCTAATTAGTTCATTAAGTTGCATAATAATTGGTTTACTGCCACCAACTTTTTATTATGCTAGAACTGTGAAAATTAAATTGATTTAGGGCCTTATTCTGATCTAGTATGCTTACTCACTCACATATCCTGGTGCTTGTTTCAGGCTTTTTTTCCTCCTCATCTCTCAAAATCTGCATATTTTTCCCTAGTTTCACTTAAAATGCAGCCCATATTCCAGTTTTATATAGGTGGGTTTCAGATGTGCATTTTACAAAAATAAACAAATAACCAAAGCATTGCCAATGGAAAACATCTGCCTCTCACCTTAGGAGGTCAAGATAAAACTCAGTGTGTGAAATACAACTTACGAATTTGAATTTATTTCTATTGTGTTAATGACATATATCAATGCCTTGACATACAAGTATCTGGCATTATAATAATGGGGTACCATCCTAAAAGAGATGGCTCGTTGCCAAAACATCCAGACAAAAACATGATGGACCAAATGGAAAGGAATAGGGCAACTATCTGTTGCTAACCTGTCTGAGTAGCATGATTTATGGTAGCAGTACAACAGAGATGGCAGCAGGTAAAACTCAGTACATTTCTCTCTGGAAGGCAGGAGGAACTACATAGTTGCAAAGTGTCCATTCAATGCAGATGCCTGGTGCTATAAGAGGTATAGGAACTTCAGGTCAGGAAGGTGGTTTGGATTTTTTAAAAATTGAACATGAACCCCTATTTATTCAAAACTATTTATATGGATGGTTGGAAGAAGACTTACTTCTTTCCAGTACATAATAAAGCTGTAGCACCCTTGTTCTGAGTAGTCACAGCCAGAACATAGCAGCAATGCTACACCAAACGATGCAGGAAGCATACCCAGACACAAGTTACAATCAGCTGTGGGCACCACTATTTTAGAATAATGTAGAAGTGAAATTACATGAACAGGTGAAGTAAATTACTCTTCTGTCATTTCTGTTGCTTTCCCAAAAGCCACTCTGCCAACACAGAACAAGTAATGGTTCATCTCTTCCTCCCCTGTGTGAAGAATGCAGGGCAAAGAAAAAGAAAGAAAAAATCTGTAAAGTTGCATATTTGCTTATAACTTGAGGCAGTTACTGGTTGGAGGCACTTCTGCACACTTGCAACACCAAAGTTTCAACAAGAATACCTGCCATTTCCTCCTGTGGCAAAAATAAAGTGATGTCCACACCTTGTAGTCCCCAATGGTCTAATCCATAAGCCCAACACCAAGCTGTAGTGGTAAAATGAATAAAACTGAAATGAAAAACAGCAGATAGAGGCTGTTTTCATGAGTTTTTGATACTCTTGGCCTGCTTCTTTATTTTTGGCTGTCAACTTTGTGGCTTTTGGAAATGGAACTACACAGACACTATGCAAATTGAATATTCCCTCCAACAGAAGCAAGGAACTGACCTTTGTGCAATTGTTTTAAAAGTTAAAAGTTTATTGAGATTGCAAACAGTTTAAAATGTTATTGGGAATGGAATATGGTGCATTACATTCTCATGTTTACCAGATGGCTGCCTTAGACAGATTCCATCAGTTATGCCGTTAACACTTCCAAATGAAGAGACACCAGTTTAGAGATGGCTAAGACCTTTCAGTCCTCCCTGCCAGAAACACCTTTTCCCTCCTGGGTTCCAATACACAATCATTGCATTTATTGCTCTGGACCATCAAATTCCAAAACTGTTATGCCAGCTGACTGTTGTCTACTCTCAAAACCTCTCTCAGATGACAAAACACTCGAGTCATGAGAAATTTAGTTAAAACCTTCTGAAGACACAGTTGACAGATTCTGACTGTTCTTAAAGCACCTAGATGACTATGTCATTGGAGTACAATCAGAGAACCACTGTCAATCCCATTTAATATACTCATAACAAACCTGAAGTACAACATTCAAGAGAAAGGGATTTGTCTACTGATACTGTGCTACACAACAAGTTCTGGAATTTCTCTTTATGCTGAGGTATATCAGCTCACTTACTATATTAATACTATCTTACTATATTAATACTATAATTTTCTGGAAAAAGGCTATTGAGTCAAGAGCCAGTTCTGACCATGTAATATTTCACTTACATTACTCCATTTTCCCTGTTGTCCCAGAATAAGGCCTCATTTGATGAACATTTTTTCTTGCTGATGTAAATATTTTCAAACACTGCAATAAAAATTTCATTACAACAGTGATTGAGATGTTTTGGGTAGTTTTGCTAAAAAGAAATGATATGCACATTTTTTCAAATATACACTTGAAGGGAATGATGTGAAGTTAGTGCTACAATAAAAATGTAAATAATATTCATTATAGTTCATAGATTTACTGATATCATCTTTATTGACTCGATAATATTGAAAAACGTAAAAATAAATATAAAATTATTTTGGAAATACATCAGTACACCTTATTTTATCATTATAAAATAATAATGGAAAATTTCTTTAGGAAAAAAATGACATTTACAATATATGAATTTGCTTATGTTTTCCACAAGTGTGATGTTACATAAAATTAATGCATATAATTAATGTTCCTCTGTTTATGAGCAGCATTGCTTTATTCTTACTGCATACAATGTCTCAGTGCCAAGATATAATATAGACCCATTGGATCCAATTTCCCTACAATATCACAACATTTTTATGGTTTCTTGTAACCATCTAAATGGTACTATTTGAATGATGTTTGTCAATGAATCTTGTAGCTTAATTGCAAGATAAGTGTTTCATGACCTGTTTCTGAAGTTAAGCAACATTTATATCTCACTTGAGCAAATATAACTTTTAGGATTGAAATGCAGTATTTGATGAGTTATATACTGGACATTGACAGATGTCAGATATGATTTGGTTTTCCATATGCCTGATCAAGTGAAAAAATAATCTCTGATCAGGTTTCAAGAATATAATACAGAGACTTAAGGAGCTGTAGTGCCAAATGAGAAGCGTCATGACTATACAGCACAAAGCCCTAATCCGGTAAAATATCATTCTGCCACTTGAAAACGGTTCAAATGTGGCAAGGGGTCATAGAATCATAGAATCATAGAATGGTTAGGGTTGGAAAGGACCTTTAGATCTTCTAGTTCCAACCCCCTTGCCATGGGCAGGGACACCTCACACTAAATCACATCACCCAAGGCCTCATCCAACCTGGTCTTGAACACTGCCAGGGATGGAGCATTCACAGGTTCCCTGGGCAACCCATTCCAGTGCCTCACCACCCTAACAGGAAAGAAATTCCTCCTTATATCCAATCTAAACTTCCCTTGTCCTTTCACTACAGTCCCTAATAAAAAGTCCCTCCCCAGGATCCCTAAGGCCCCCTTCAGATACTGGAAGGCTGCTATGAGGTCTCCACGTAGCCTTCTCTTCTCCGGGCTGAACAGCCCCAACTTCCTCAGCCTGTCTTCATACGGGAGGTGCTCCAGTCCCCTGATCATCCTCGTGGCTCTCCTCTGGACTTGTTCCAACAGTTCCATGTCCTTTTTATGTTGAGGACACCAGAGCTGCACACAATACTCCAGGTGAGGTCTCAGAAGAGCAGAGTCAAGGGGCAGGATCACCTCCTTCAACCTGCTGGTCATGCTCCTCTTGATGCAGCCCAGGATACGGCTGGCTTTCTGGGCTGCAAGCGCATACTGAAGCCGGCTCATGTTCATTTTCTCATCAACCAACACCCCCAAGTCCTTCTCCACAGGGCTGCTCTGAATCTCTTCTCTGCCCAACCTGTAGCTGTGCCTGGGATTGCTCCGACACAGGTGTAGGACCTTGCACTTGGCATGGTTAAACCTCATGAGGTTGGCATCAGCCCACCTCACAAGCATGTCAAGGTCCCTCTGGATGGCATTCCGTCCCTCCAGTGTACCAACCAAACCACACAGATTGGTGTCATCAGCAAACTTGCTGAGGGTGCACTCAATCCCTCTGTCCATGTCAGCGATGAAGATGTTGAACAAGACCGGTCCCAACACCGATCCCTGAGGGACACCTCTCATTACTGGTCTCCCGCTGGACATTGAGCCATTGACCACAACTCTTTGAATGCAGCCATCCAGCCAGTTCTTTATCCACCGAGTGGTCCATCCATCAAATTGATGTCCCTCCAATTTAGAGACAAGGATGTGGTATGGGATAGTGTCGAATGCTTTGCACAAGTCCAGGTAGATGACATCAACTGCTTTACCCCTGTCCATCAGTTCTGTAGCCCCATCATAGAAGGCCACCAAATTGGTCAGGCAGGATTTCCCCTTAGTGAAGCCATGCTGGCTGTCACCCAGCACCTTGTTGTTTTTCATGTGCCTTAGCATGCCATCTAGGAGAATCTCCTCCAAGATTTTGCCAGGCATAGAGGTGAGACTGACAGGTCTGTAATCCCCTGGGTCATCCATTTTCCCCTTCTTGAAAATGGGGGTTATACTTCCCTTTTTCCAGTCATTGGGAACTTCACCTGACTGCCATGATTTCTCAAATATGATGGGCAGCGGCTTTGCAACTTCATTCGCCAGCTCCTTCAGGACCCACAGATGGATCTCATCAGGACCCATGGACTTGTGTACATTCAGATTTTTAAGATGGTCTCGAACCAGATACTCTCCTACAGTGGGAGCAAGGTCTTCATTCTCACAGTCCCTGCGTCTGCCTTCCAAGACTTGGTCAGAGCCTTTGCCAGTGAAGACTGAGGCAAAGAAGTCATTCAGAACCTCAGCCTTCTCCAAATCCTGTGTAGCCAGTTCTTCCGAGAGCTTCCTGAGGGGGCCTACGTTCTCCCTAGTCTGTTTTTTATTTGCTATGTACTTGTAGAATCCCTTCCTGTTATCCTTAATACCCCTAGCCAAGTTTAATTCTAACTGGGCCTTAGCTTTCCTAACTTGGTCCCTAGCTTCCCGGACAACATCCTTGTACTCTTCCCAGGCCACCTGTCCTTGCTTCCACTTATTATAATGCTCTTTTTTCATTGGAATTTTCCTCAGGAGCTCCTTATCCATCCAAGGAGGTGTCCTGGCCCTCCTGCTGCATTTCCTTCTAATTGGGATGCAACACTCCTGAGCTTGTAGCAGGTGATCCTTGAATATCAACCAAGAGTCTTGGGCTCCCCTGCCCTCTAGGGCTGTATCCCATGGAACCTTACTAAGCAGGTTCTTGAAGAGGCCAAAGTCTGCTTTTTTGAAGTCCAGGGCAGTGAGCTTGCTGCACGCTCTTCTCACTGTCCTGAGGATCTCAAATTCGACTACCTCGTGATCGCTGCATCCAAGGCTGCCCTGGAGCGTCACATTTCCAACGAGCCCTTCCCTGTTGGTGAGCACGAGGTCAAGCATGGCACCTCTCTTTGTTGGCTCCTCTATTACTTACAGAAGGAAGTTGTCTTCCACACAATCGAGGAACCTCCTGGATTGCTTGTGCCGGGCTGTACCTTCCTTCCAACAGATTTCAGGGTGGTTGAAGTCACCCATGAGAACAAGGCCCTGTGAGCCTGAGTTTTTTCCTACCTGTCTATGGAGTGCTTCATCCGCAGGTTCTCCTTGATCAGGCGTTCTGTAACAGATACCCACAGTAATGTCTCCCATAGCTATATTCCCTTTAACCCTGACCCACAAACTCTCTGTGGACTGGTCACCTGTCCCCAGACAGAGTTCCATACTCTCCAGCCTATCCCTAACATAAAGGGCAACTCCCACTCCCCGGCTGCCAGGCCTGTCCTTCCTAAAGAGCCTGTAACCTTCCATTCCAACACTCCAGTCATAGGAGCCATCCCACCATGTTTCAGGGACGCCTATTATATCATACCCCCGTAGACGTGCACAAATCTCTAATACCTCTTGTGTGTTCCCCATGCTACGGGCATTTGTATAGAGGCATCTGAGCCGAGCTCCAAATGAAGCCGGCTCATTGGCTGGAGCGGCTGGGATATCTCTACATTGCTCCAAGCATTTATTATAGGTGCTGGTAACTGACTGGGAGTGTTGGAAGGTAATGATGCCCCCCTCCCCCAACACAACTAGTCTGGCAAGCCTCCTACCAAAACTGTTCTTTCCCTGCTTTAGACCAGCTCCACCAGCCCCCAGTAGACCTGGCCTACAAACTTGGGTCCCGTGTTCTAGGCACCCAAACCCCTGACTATGACACCACCCTTTTAACCATTTATTAACCTGTTCAATCCTCCTAGCTTTTTTTAGGTCCTCCCCTATATCCTGGAGAATTGATGAAAAGACTATCTGAGCTCCAGAGCCCCTAACCACCTCCGCCAGGGCTCTGTAGTCCTTCTTTATGTTCCCCAGGCTACCACTATCTACATCCCTAGCACCCACATGTATCACCAGAAGTGGATAATAGCCCCTTAACAAATTTTGTACTAGACCAGGCACCATCAGCCTTCCTCCAACCATCATAAAACCAACAGAAATTTCTCTGAACTATACAGCTTACGAGGATTCAATAATGGGTAGATGCTGACTGAGAACAAATCAATATTTCTAGACAACCTGGCCATGGCCACCCGTAGAATTCCTGGTCACATCTCTGCTCCACAGCCTCCGCTTTCCCAGTCATAACAAAGCAAGTCATGAAACAAAAGCCAGCATTTTGATACTGGCCATGAAAAATCAGAATACTTTTTTTCTGAAGAATTATTTTAAATAAGCTCTGAATATCAAGAATTACACTGTTCCCATTTCTATAAACTCCATACAGCTGTAACCTTTAACCCAGCCCTGTAATCAGCTCTGGGTAGAATTGAAGTATGACACCAAATCCTGGTATAAGCATTTTGTTTTCCTACAGTGGATAAACAGGCATCCTTCTCTGTGCATTCCTCACTGGATTTTCAAGCCTTTGCCAAGTATGATTACACAATTCTTAACTAAATATTTGCCAACTGCAGCTGCCATACTAAGCGGTGCTGCTTGAAAATTCCTTCAGCAAAAAGAAAAATATATTGTTACAGCACTTTTAGCATCTTTTACTTTTATGAAAAAAATCCATTTAGGAGTATTAGATAGCATGTAGAAATGAATAAGAACTTTAAAATATATATCTATCAATAATTGTATATGTAGTGCACTTACTTTAACGAATTGTTGCACAAACTACATAGACAGCATTTTTCCTGTGAAATCATTACACTTAAATGAACTTTTGACAATGTATTAATTACAAGGACAT